ATGATTCACCCTAATGAGCACTTGAGGTAAATCTAAAGCAACAACCATTCGTATAGTTAACGACCTGACTGCTTCAAGTCTAATGCAAAAACTCATGGAAGCACCGGCAAGTCTGGTACTTACCAACCTGTGTTTGAATATTACCACTTTTTGGGTTTAACTTTCTATTTCTACTCAGCTCTGTCTTTCGTCAATCAAATAAGTAACGTCAAGGAAAAGGCGCTAGAACACAAAGCTATTTTTGAGTTGTACAGCAGGAGGTGTACAAGAAAAATGGTAGAGTTTGTAAAATTTTGGGGTCGGCTTTTGATTTCTACAACTAAAATTTTGAGAAGACTGATTTCAGGAGGGACGAACGCCACTTCATTACGCTTACGGGCTACCACGCGCTGACGAACGTGCCCGAATGGTGAAAATATTGACTGACGGGGGCGCCGACCAAAATATTCCCGACAGGGTTTCCTTTTTTAAAAAAAAATTTTTTTAACTTTAGCACTGCTCATCGCAAAATGACCGCATGCCTGCGGGAAATCAGTGGCAATGACCGCTTTTCCCAGTGTTACAGAAGTCTGCGTAGTGCATGCTCCTCTCCTACATGAAATATATATCGAACACAGAAGTAACCAAATTGTACAAGACTTTATCGGTGATCAGCTGATCAGCCGGTGATCAGCTGTGTTCAAAAGTATGTGTAAGATAAAAATCATGTGCAAAGCATTTTTCTGAACAGTTCCATCCTGCATGGTTCCGGCGCATGCTCTATTGTTAAACGAGTAAATCGCAAAAACATGAGCACAACAATCATACAACCGGTAAAGAGTCGCAAAAACACGGGTAAAAAGTACGAAATTTAGTTAGGGAAGAGCCACATGCGAAATTTTTTAGGCAGAACTGCACGCCGCAATACCACATTTTGGTAACTTTTTCCCTCAACCATTTTTGATATCTCTTTTTCCTGAATCGCATTTTTGACATCTTTTCCTGATATGCCTCAATCAAATGAGTTTAAAAAATTTTCTTTTAAAGAGGATGTGGCCTCAATTTCTCCTTTAAGAACACCTCATTAATTTACAAATCAAACGTAACAAATGCAGGCACACACAACAGTTCATTTGTTTGCGGTACTAGCGAGCAAGGGGGACAAGAAGGGAACAGCAAAAATTTTAACAGGTGCTTCTCACATTTTTTGAGGTAAATGTTTTAACTCAAAAAATCAGCAAAATATTTGCATCTTTATTAACTATCTCTCTTGTTTCATTTATTACTTACGGACTTCAAACGATTTCCGTTACAGTTTTGAGTACTTTTCTCACAAAAAAATTCTGCTTCAAAAAAAAACCTTTTTTCGAAAAAAAGTCTTATTTTTCTTTCAATCAAAAATTCCTAGTTAGGCTACTATTGA